ACACCGAAACGTATTTTAATTGATAAATAGACAATAAATGACTGAAGCCCAGGAATTGATTTTGATTTGGAATTAAAACACAGTCAGGAAAATATGTTCTTCTGCTGTTTTGCAATGAAATGATTTCATTCGGGAAAACCTAGTTGTGGAGTAAATAGCGCGCACATATTTCATGTGGAAACCATCCTAAAGCAGCGACATCGCAGGCTTTCCGCCATCAGTTTCCCGAGGGTACCACAAACTGCTAAGCTTCCGGGACTCATTTCCCGATGACTGACGAGAGCTTTGAGATGTCTGGCGCGTTTTTGTAAATCCTCCGGTTCACCTGCTTCACTAACAAAAGCGGAAATTTTCGCAAGATGGAAAATCGCATTTCTGGAATAATATTTGCCATTTGGCCAGGGAAGAGACGAGCTGCCCATATTTCAAGTCCCTTCCGTTTAACAAGCGGAGGCGATTCTTTATCTTTAGCGCCGAAAACAAAAGCACTCGGCACTGATTAATCTGCTAGGCCCAGAATAGAATCGTTCTCCTCGCGCCTGCCGTTTATTTATTGCTGGTTGCTATTTTTTCGCCAGGCAGACTAATCTCTCGTTCCCACAACAACTAGTTAGTTAACCATGCAAAACACAATAAATGAACGAAAAAACGACGATTTCCATCTACCATATTGTTACCATAACAGTAGGAGCAAAAGCCTGCAGCCACCGGTCTATTGTTTTCCTTACAAAGCCACCCACTTGCAGTAGTTATTACTACTGTGCCATGAAACATTTAGTATATCTTTCTATAGAGATTCGACTGGTGGGGTCTGCGATTCCCCCCTTAAAAACGTCGCAAGCAAGTTCACAAATTGATTTAAGATAAAGAGTGCCCAAACCGATCTAAATGCACCCCATTAGCCAGTTCGCCCCCTACCGTTTTTGTATCGGGTGACGTTGGTGTCGCATAGAGATAAGGGCATGTCTTTTAATTGGATTATTATGTTTGTGGCGCAAATCCCAAGTATTATCTTTAGGAGGGAAGCTCTGGGGTAGACGATAAGACCCTGGAACGATCTAGATGGAAAAAATCCATTGCTATTCAACTATTGTTACACAGGATCCATCTTCGGATTAAGTTCAAGCGTTCAGCTAATTAGAAATCTACCTTTATTCCGACTTGTTCGTCGAGTGTTGCTTCAACTGAAATGAATGCGTACAAAACTCAACACTTTTCAGGTCCCTGTAAACTCTCTATCTCTGAAAACCTCAAATGCCGCACAAAAAACTCTATTAATTTCCCTGTCGAGTTGTTGGCCGGGATTTAGTTTCACTTGCAAAACATCCCTTAATGGCCAATTAACGAATTAAAATTCAAGCTTAACGGCTTCATAAAGCTGGAATTTGGCTCCATAATACAGCGGCGTTTGTATTTCTTTACAAGTAATAAATAGCCCTGGAATAGGGGGTGGAAAAAACACAAAAAAGCCCTTTGTTCGAATGGCATTTAATAGTGCAGGGGTGGCGGCCACGAAAAGTTTTGGAAACGCAAGCTGTGATTTATATCGGGAATGTCGGAAACATAAAGTGTGTTACGTGGAAATGCTCGATGACCCTTTGGCGAACAAAAAAACTTCTGTACGGGAATTTTCCCGAGGAGGCATCGATATGTTTAGAATATGGAAAGTGGATATTTTCACAAATTAGTTCATTTTGAGGATGAATTAAAAGTGCGGCACAATGAGACGCAAACTACTCGACAAGTTCCGAGTTGTGTTCAGTAAAGAAGAGGGCGCTCTAAATGTCGTCAACATTTCTACAAACCTTCAAAGATTTGTTCCAACCACAGGAAATCCCGAACTTTGTACGGTTTGTAGTGTTGTAAATTAATTTTTCTTTTCTAAAATTATTGATTTAACAAAAAAACTGCGAATCAATCGCTCAAAAATGAAACTAGTGTTCAATTTCCGAGCAATGATGTTCCTAATTAAAAATGTTCTTTAAAAATAGTTTCTTTAAAAAAAAATGAATGTAAATTCTGATTTCAAGAATTATTCGACCACAAGATCAATTCGATGTGCGGCGCGATGAGTTATCTCACCAACTCACAGAGCGGCATCAACTCAACACAGTGTCACCCAGGCCTAATACAAGCAACTAGATCTTCAAAAATTCTACTGGCAATTTAATCTAAATATTGATTGATTTTAAATGACATGGCTGGGCTCACCGCACAACA